ATGCGTGAAAACCATACTCAAAAACCACAAAAATTAAATGTATGGTCAGGTATAGTAGGAACTCAGTTAATTGGGCCATTTTTCATCGAAGGAAATTTAACGTCAGATAGTTACGAAATGTTACTTAGAAATGAAATTGTACCTACACTGAAAACTTGTTTGGGGCCAATTTTAATCAGATATGGTTTCAGCAAGATGGAGCTCCACCTCATTTTGGTGTAAATGTTCGGCGTTATTTAGATGAGATATTTCCAGGACGATGGATTGGTAGACGAGGTAGAATTGAATGGCCTCCACGTTCACCTGATTTTAATCCTAAAGATTATTTTTATTGGGATACTTGAAAAATTCAGTTTACAAAACTAAACCAGCAAGTCTTGCAGAGCTAAGGCAACGAATTATCGATGAATCTCTAATAATTTCTAGACAATCATGGAGAAACGTGGTAGACGCATTCTGCCATCGATTACGGTACTGTCACCTCACAAATGGAGCACATTTTGAACACTTGATGAAGTAACCATTATGCTAAAAAATGTTAGTAATCTATCAATTGTTAAGTTTTAATGTAATTAAAAATAGTTAGTATTAAAAAATTTATTAGGCAATTAGGCGTTGCCAGACTTCCGTTTATTGATTTCGAAAAGGCCTTTGACAAAGTACAACATGAACCACTAAGACAAGTTCTAATAAAGAAAAATATAGACAGCCGAGATATTCGAATTATATGCAATCTATATTGGAATCAAACAGCAAATGTCAAGGTTGAGGGCAGACTAACAGAAGAAATTCAAATCCGTCGAGGAGTCCGGCAGGGATGTATCTTATCGCCACTTTTATTTAATCTGTATAGTGAAGCTATCTGTGAACAAGCACTCGAGGAAGAAGATCTTGGTCTGATAATAAATGGTGAGACGATCAACAATATAAGGTATGCTGACGATACAGTTCTCCTAACGGGAACGCTAGTAGAACTATAACATCTCGTTCAAAGTCTCAATATAAACTGTAACAGTTACGGCTTGAAAATTAATTTGAAAAAAACTAAATTTATGGTAATCACGAAATCAAAGAACATCAGAGCTAATCTTGTAATAGACAATACAACGATTGAGCGTGTGCCCTGTTATAAATATCTAGGTGCTTGGATCACCAGACGATACTGATCAAACAAAAGAGATTAGATGTAGAATAGAAATCGCTAGATCAGTCTTTAATAGAATGCGCAAACTCTTTTGCAATCGTGATATCAATATAAAGTTACGAATACGAATGCTGCGGTGTTATGTCTTTTCTACCCTGTTATATGGAGTTGAGGCTTGGACACTAAAACAGTTGACCATAAAAAAACATCGAAGCTTTCGAGATGTGGTGCTATAGGCGCATTCTCAGAATATCATGGATGGACCGCGTCACTAACACGCAAGTACTTCAAACTTTAGACAAAAGATGCGAAATTCTAAATGAGATAAAAACTAGAAAGATGGAATACTTGGGGCACATTGTGAGAGGTGAAAAGTACGAACTTTTAAGAAACATCATGCAGGGCAAAATTAAGGGCAAAAGAAGTGTTGGAAGAAGAAAAAATATCGTGGCTTCGTAATCTACGTGAATGGTTCGGGTGTAGTTCGATTGAACTTTTCAGGCGCGCTGCTAACAAGAGTCGCAGTGGCCATGATGATTTCCAATCTCCGCTAGGAGTGGCACGAGAAGAAGAAGAAGAATAAGACTTCCGTTTTATGTATTTAAGACCTTCCAGACTACATTAAAATCATAACTGTTACATATGGCTGAACTCGTATTGAATAGGAGATTCCAATAATGACTAAATATACAGGGTGATGAATTTGAAAAACCAAAGTTACTAATAATATAAGAGAAACGAAAAGTCTGGCAACATTGTAAATATCAAATATGTAATCTCTGTATCCCAAAATAGGTGTACCTCAAATTTGGTACAATTATGACTAGCAATTTACGAGATAATTATCCGTTTCCAGACTTCTGGGCCACTCTGTATAATTCCGCTGGAAGATTGTCTATTCCGGGTGATTTGTTTCTGGCTAGTTTGTTTACAGCGTCTTTAACTTCCAGGATCGTTGGTGGATTCTCCTCGCTCTCGTCTGCTTCGCTTATCTCAAAGCTTTCGTCTTCCGGGTTTTCTTCTTTTTCCTCTATATTAAGTATCTGGTTAAAATATTCCGTTCATCGATTTAGTACGTCTATTCTGGTTGTTAATAGATCGCCATTCAAACTTCTACATTGATTTGTGTTTGCCTTGAATTCTTTTCTGTTGATGTTAACTTTCTTATAAAATGTTCTGAATTCTTTCTCTCTGTTGAGGTTTTCTATATATTGAAGTTCCTTTTTTAAGTGGTTTTGTTTGTTTATTCTGTGTATTTTCTGTTCTTCTCTTCTCTTTGTCTGGTAATTCTCTACACTTGTTCTAGTTCGGCGAGTAATCTGAAGAAATAGTACAACCTTGTTTTTTTTTTGGAATCGTTGAAACTATACACTTGTTCATATTGGAAACCAAATAGGCTTGATTAAGATCTCTGGATTTAGTTTCTAAAAATTCTCGCAGTATCTACTTATTTTTTTTAAAGCAACCACAAATGTGAGTCCTTTTTCTAAAAGATACGGAAAGCTACTATAATAATTGTCAGTTGTCACATTTATATTAGATTTTTCAATTGGTGCAACCAATCTTTTTACAACATCAATGGCTTTTTTGATTTTTTTGATATTTGATTGTAAATATGGACAAAGGAACTTTTTTCCGCAATATATTTCAAAGTTGTATGTAAAAAAGTTTTTGAATTGCATAGTGCGTAAATTTTAATTCCATACCAAGCTAGCTTGTTCGGAATGTACTGAATCAATCCGCATCTTCCCCTAAAGGTTCGCTCTATTCTGTATAATTTGTAAAAGTATATAAAACGATGAGAAATTTTAAATATACATTTTGTTTCATTAAGTTGAAAGTATTACAAGTGTTATCAGTGTTACACCTATTTATACCTATAAAACAGTATTATGTGGCGTCCGTTTAAAAACATTGATGGTGCTTCTTCCAGTGTTCCAGCAAAGAAAAACCATTTATCTACTGACGCTAAAGAAATCGTAAAAACAATATATAGTTCTTTACTTACAAGAGTACTTACTGCTAATACTGCTGCTAGTAAAATATCTGATTTAACGAAAATACGTCTAACCACAGTGAAAAGAATTACATCAAATCCCATTGAGTCAAGAAGGAAGCGTAAGGATGCCGGTTCTACCAAATGTATTGACGAAAGTGATAAGGACTTAATAAGACGAAAAATTTACACAATGTACGAAGAGCAACGGATACCTACATTAGATGCTTTAAAATAACGGCTTACTAATGATGATACACAAATAAACTGTAGCTGCATTAGTCTTTGGAGGATTTTTTCTAAAATGGGCTTCAGATATCGTACAATTATTGACAAAAGGCAAGTGCTTATGGAGTCGCATCGTTTACAAAAGTGGCGTACTGAATATATAACTTCTATAAGAAAGTACCGTACAGAAGATCGACCAACTATTTGTCTGGACGAGGCATGGTTCGTCACTCATGAAACACCATCCAAAGGATGGTCCGATTCTTCCAACAGGTGTCAAACAAAAGCTCCATCAAACAAAGGGAAAAGAATAACAATTTTACATGCAGGATCAGAAAATGGTTAGGTCCCAAATGCCTTATGGCCTTATAGTGTAATAGTAATGGACAATGCAAGTTACCACAGTCGTCAATTACATAAGTCTCCAAGTGCAAATAACACGAAAACTTGAAATTCAAACTACCTGTTAGAAAACGATATATATTTTGAAGAAAGTTATTTAAAAAATGAACTGTTAGAAGTGTTTCTAACAGTCTAAGAAAAAATTATTTTCCATTAAAAAAGTATATGTTTGTGACGCATTGGCCGAGGACATGGGTCATACAGTGTTACGGCTTCCGCCTTACTATTGTTTATTTAATCCCATAGAGCATATGTGGCACCAACTAAAGTCAAATGTTAGGTCACAAAATGTTTCTCCGGTTTTAAGTGGTGGTGTAGTCGAATTAATAAGGAAATGCGTTGATGATATCTCCCCAGAAAGTTGGAAACGTTAGAACATTCATATGTTATTTTGATCACATAATTAAACCAATTGTTATTAATCTTGAAGAGAATAGCGACAGCGAAACAGAATTAGGTATTTAGGAATTCATAAATATATTTTGGTTATTTTGGGAATTTTTTTTTGTAAATATTAACTTGTATTTTTCTATATTTTTTTAATTCATCTATTTTTTGTACATTATGTATTCGTTTGTATGTACATATTGCAAATAGAACTATTATTACTGTATATTTTTAACGATATCCGATTAGGAAGAGCAAACAACTTCTTAACACGCCAGGTTTTTGCTGACAATCCTAAGCCTGTAAAAAGTGTAAAAGAAAGTACCTTTCTGAATTTAGGTCCTTATACTACAACTATTCACGTAGAATAAAAAAACTGAACTTCCTTCATGTTAAAAATTGTTCAATTATCAAGTATATTCACTTGAACAACCTGAAAATACAATATGAAATAATTTAATACATTTTTATAATCGTGTATTACACAGCTACCAATGAAATATAAACAAACTTTCTGAAGTGCTACCCTGTATACTTCGGTAAGCGACTCTTGTATACACAATAGGATCAACTCAGGTAACCATTAAGCACTCAACCATTTTTCGTGAAACAAACTATACCGTCTTTATATATTATAACCATTATTTTTCTACGCAGTTAAAATGTCTACTGAATGTGTCGCAGAAACACACTTGTATACACAAAACTGAATAAATTTTTATACATAGCCAGGGTCGTAGCAAATAAATCTTATACATTAAATATTCGATAGTTACATGAAATTTATAGATGCTACACATTAACTTGTTTATACGTGTTCTAAATACGTCTTTTTTCTTTCAGAATCCCTACTATTGGCCTTGGCAAAATCGACCTCCTGACAACGTTGAATACGCCATCTATCTATCGAAAAGAACACTTAGAAACAAACAGAGGCATGGTCTGGAGGATTATGAGATCGAGGCTATGAGCAATCTGAAGAAAAATTTAGCGAACAAATGGGATTTTATTACGGGACAAGCTGAGGAACAGGTAAAGTTAAGCATTTTAAGGAAAATAAAAACTGTTTTAAAGTAGTATGTATTGTTTTAGATAGCGATCAAGAATTGAATATTTTCCATATATTATACCTGAGGCATTTCTATTGACAATTATTGTATCTAATTAGACATTAAAGTTTTTTAATAAGAGTAATTACATTACTAATATTCTCTAGTTTGTCTTCTCCAAATATCTTTCTTAATACACTTTGTTCCTTAAAATTTTAAGCAGTTTCTTTACTATTGTTTATTGCCCAATATTTATTGCCTTATATTAGTGCTAATTGAATTAAAGTTTACTTTAATCCTAACTTTGCTAAAGTTAAGATATTATTAAATTTTAAGTTGCACGTTTTAATTGTTTACCTTCTTTTCGCTATTATTTTTTCCATCTCTCCGGTCTTTCTTCGTTTAGCGGTTACCCCTTCGTCCAGTTTACTCTTCGTATTCTTGTGGTTCCCTTCCGTTCCCGATATTGACTATTATCATGCCATTTTTGACTTTGCTTACAAATACTCAAAACAGGCTAGTGGTCTTTATAATAACTCAAAGTCTTAGGTTATTTATTCTTCTTGCAGTTCTCTCCTTATTGAACGTTTGTAATCACTCTAGCCCTCAAAACCTTATTTACGGTTTCTAAATAATTCCAACGAGTTTTTCTAGTCCCCTGTCTAAACTTTTTAAGACATGAACTACGTCGTCTACTTGGTTGCCTTTTTTCTTTCACTTTGCCTTGCATAATAAGTTTGAAGGATATACATGATATTTTTCGTTTGACATTAATATACCGATGTTGGTATGACAATTTTCTTTGGTTTATTAGTAAAAGTAGTTGTCCCTGTTGACGTATTCTTGTAAGATCTGTGCAAGATATTCGTAACATTCTTCAGTAGGACCACATTTTAAAAGCTCCTTTTTCTTGCTGGTGATCTCTGACAAGATCCAATATTAGACGCTATACAAAAAAGCTTCTATACAAAATAACCTCTTAGCTTATATATCCAGGAAATACGTCATCTTTTTAGGCCCCTTTTATCAATATATTTCAAAGATCAACTAAAGAAATCCATATCTCTTTGTAGTTTACATAATATCTAAAAAGTACTATAATTTCTGTTTTTTTTTTTGTTGTGACTAACACTTTACGTCTCTTTTCGGATTCTGCAAAGACATTCATAATTTGTCACTCGATCAACCTATTAGTGGCTTCCCACGATCGGCAATTCTACAGATCATCGCGGACAGCCGATCAGCACGGACGGCAACGCACCGCAGACAGAGCTCTTCCTACAGTCTGTGACAGTCTGTGTAGGTCCGTGACAGTAGTGTTTGATTATATCATAAAAAGGCCACTCAGGCTTGTAAACATCATCATCCCCACTACCAGTTCCCATCGATTATCTAACTTTTGTTTTTTGCCTTCTGTATAGAGATGATACGAAATACTGGGAACAAGTATTTGGTAATAGGTATGAGCATATAACGTAACGTGACAGTTACCGGTTTTCTAAAATACTAGTTCCAGTTCCATCTAGATTTTTTCAACGACACGACGGACACAGAATGAATCAAGCCTGGTAACTGTAACTGGTACTGTTACTGTGGCGATACTGTTACTGTATTCGATACCTGCGCTGCGCTTTGATATCGATATTTTGGTATTGGTATTTTGGATACTGATACGCACCGGGACCAGTTATATTTTTTGAGTAGGTAAAAGTTCTAGTTTGTAGTTACTGAGGATTGGCGGTTCGGACGTCGGGATTATTACGGTGGTGTATGCAAGATGTGAAATTATACGTATTAAATCTGTCATAATATTGGTCCCTTGCTGTTACTATATTATTTTAGAAGTTTTTTAATTTGATTTTGTTTGAGCGTAAAACATTTTTTCATGAAACTAAATTAAAAGAGTTTATAAATTATTATTTACTATTTACTAAAATAAACTAGATAAGTGTACCTAACACAAAAATTAAAACAAAAAAAAAACAATGAGATCGTTTTGAAAAAATAATACACGAGTAGTTAACAAAATACAAAATATAACTTTATGTAAAACATTAGAAAAAAGACATGGCGCGGCGTATAATGTAAAAATACTAGGTTAAAAAGTAACTAGTATTTGGAACAGGTACGAATATGGAACCGGAACGTAACGTAACAGTTACCGAAAAATACTCATTTGTATCATCTGTACTTCTGTATGTCGACATTAAATTAATTATCTCTCTTCTTCTTTAATTCTTTAATCGAAATAGTAGTATTCTTCAATTGATTTTTTTATTCGCTTCCATGCATCGTATGCATAGTTCCGGTTCTTATGTTCTGGCGCCGTGGAATTCCATAAACTTCGTTCATCTTGATACAAATTTAAAAAATTAAAAACAACTTCGTTTGTCCGTTCCATTTTTCAGCAAAAAACTGCAAAACAACTTTGACAACACTACAGATAACTACTCGTGTCAGCGAATGAAAAACTTATGACTTGCACTTGTCGTCGGTTAAAACACAGACGCGCTAGGATCGCGTCGCACGAACATGTACCGCACCTTTGATGTTACCGACTCTAGATGGATAGGACGCACCAGTGCGGACCAGCACGGACGAGACCCTTCCCACGGTGCGTGGTGCGTGCTGGTCCGCTTACGTCCGCAATATCGCCGACCGTAGGAAGCCGCTATATGAGATACGCAGTATTCTTCTGCAGCTCATCTCAAAAGCCTCCAACTTTTTCATAGAGAACTCCGGTATAGTGCAAGGTTCCCCTCCATACAGCAAAATCAGAATTATGTAGCACTCAAGTAGCCAACATTTTATTATGTTAGTCAGAAGATGTTTAAAAACTGCGGCGTTTTAAGGAATGCCAATTTGGTCGTGGCTATCTATTATGTTGTCTCTACAGATTGGTCCCATCTGCTATTTACATTATTAAAGATATTTACTGCTCCCAACTTCTTTAATTAGTTGATTTTTTTACAAGTAGCTGAGTATAATGTATTACATAATTTACTTTTGAAAACGATGGTTTTTATTATTCGTTTTTATGTATTGTCTCGTTTATAATACATCCCCATTCTCAATTACATACTTTGTTTTTTGTTTCTTCATAATTATTTAATATTCCTTTCTAAATCCTTAAAATTCCGTATAGCTTTATTTTTAATTAGTTTAGGTATTGTTGTTTGAGTACTATGCAATTAAAGATCTAATAAAATATAATATTTTTTAGGTGAAGTTATCTAAGGGTTTGAAGAAAGCAGACAAACTAGTAAGCGATTCTCAGGAACGTGCGTATTGGAGAGTACATCGACCACCACCAGGAATGGTCAGTTCTTTGGAGCCGTGTCCAGTTCCTACTAGAAGTTGGAATGGGAGTACTAGAACTAGAAAAAAAACTATTGAAGATTGTAGGCGAGAGGTAACTTTACTTAAAAAGGCCAGAAATTTACTAAATATCTAATAAATCTTATTTTGACAGGTGGAGCTGCTAAAAAAGAGCTTATCAAAAACAAGAGTCAAAGTTTCTCAAGCGTTAGAAAGCATGGTCCAACACGTAGAAATATACATGGAATATGACCCACTTATCACTCCAACTCAACCATCTAATCCATGGGTTAGCGAAGATTTGACGTATTGGCAGCTTAATAGTCCTCTGTAAGTGATATTTTATTCTGACTTGCATTTTCGAATGGTAGACTCTCTAACTTGAGGAATTCATATTAAAAATCAACGAGATATTAGTATTTTTAGCGTGTTTTAATAACAAATAATACAATGGTGTTAGAGTCGTATAGTATTTCGGGATCAAAACTACTTAAAAACTTTAAAGGTTTTAAGTGTTTTTAAAAGAAACCATGTGTGGCACTTTATTAGACAGGTACGAGAATTCTGGCATCCAGGTTTTTTTCCATACTAACTATATCATTTTGAAAAAGTAATAATTTATTGAAAGTGTTACAAAAGTGTTACACCTCTTACTAAACGTAATGCCTGTGTTTTTCTAGTGTCCATTTTAAAATTTTTCTGTCATGTCAAAAACTACATCAAAACGAAATTTGCAACATTAATAGGAAACTTTATTAAATGTAATGTATATAAAATAAACCAAATTTTAAATTAATAACTTTATAATTCAAAACCAATTATTTCTGAAATTTAATTATTTAATTACATTGTCAAAATATTGTTCACCAACAACTATGCCATAATTATCGCTGTTTAAAATTACGACGAACAGATTAAAGCCTTTCAGGGGTTACTATACTAGATTCGTGCACTATTTATTGTTATAGTTCTTCCAATGAAGCAGAAATAGTATCATAAATATAGCCGTTTAAATGTACCCCTTTGGAAGAAGTCCAGGAGTCTTAAATCAGAGATCTTACTGGCAATTTAATAGAAACCCTTTATCCAGATCATTGTATATAGCAAACCGTCAATTAAGATATCGCCTTGCATTTATGGTACAATATTTTTTACCTATTATCATTTTCGATGTTATCTGTTAAAATGAGATCAACTGTATCCTCTAATAATTGTATATAATATGTTTATCCGTTCAAAATTTTCTTGCAAAAATAATGGTCAACCACACAATCCCTATAAATTCCGCCCAACACGTTTAATTCAATTGCTGTTGAGTACGTGTGTCGTGGAAAACTATGGCATTTTCATCCGACCAATAATTTGTATCAATTTAGAGTATCATTTATCATACGAATAAAATTTTTAATGTTTTAGTATTCTGCGGGCATAAGTGTGCGAAAAAACCAGATTCTTGAACTATTTCTTAGCACTTGGTTAATTTGGTTTCAAATGTTACAAATGGTTTGTAAATGTTACAGATAAATTACTTTTATAAAAGTTTTAACAAATAACTTCTTTTTGCAGTGCCTATCGGTTATGGATATTGGCTAGGAGCATGGCAATTCTAAAATTATTGACTGCTGCTGTGAAAAGTTTAGTAGTCGTTAAGTTAAACTAATCTCCCAAATTGCACAACCACGATATCCTAGGCCGGCCACTTACTATCAGATATCACTACCTGATAGGTACTCCTGTATAGTTAAGCCTGTCTGGTGTAACTGATAATGTGTAGCAAGAATAGCTAGCCTGTCAGGCGAGCTGAAGGCGACCTGAAAATGAGAATTTGATCAGTCCTACCAGACATGCGAGTGGACTTGTGTCTACGCACATGTGAGCGTGTTTTATCAAGGTATCTTGACATGTCTCAGTTTTTATGAATTCTTTGATGTGGACAGTTAATATTTTTGCCAAATGAAACCATTAGTTTAGGTACATATTAGGTTTATATTTAGGTGAGACCAACTCCTTGTCACTAATTTATTCATGCGTAATTGTTATAATCAGATGGTTTATGTCTTAATTTATTAAGGAGATTGAGACTGTGTGCGTTCATACAATCGCACAATTTACACAATCACAATCGATTGAACGCACACTATTGTGTGCATTCTGAAAAATTAAAAATTTTAATAGGTATACATCAAGAGTGTGTGTGATCTTCATACTTGACAGGCGTAACTGTTCACTCAGGTGTAACTCATAGTGAGTGGCTGGCTGAAGCTTTTCTGGACCTCGCTTGCCGTGCACCTTACTCTACCGAATGACGACTTGGAGCATGTTGTACCGCTATTTATTATGAATTACGTAGCCCATATGTCTTCTTCAGGGCTTCCTCCGAGGTTTCAGTCTACCGAGCCCCCAGACACTACTACACTGATCACTAATCAAAGCATTCTTGGTGTTGGAATAGAGGATGGGTTTGTACCGTTGATGGTGACGTTGCTTGTCACCGTCGTTGAGTAAGCCGTCATATATTTTTTGATTCTCCTATAATTCTTGGTTTACAGAAGCGGATGGGGGCTATCGTTCTGGAGTTTTTAAAAATAATTTTGTGACCTGTACGGAGATGGTGTTGACCTAGAGCTGAAATTGAGTCGGAATTGCGAACAGAAATGGAATGTTCATAAATCCTATTTTGAGTTCTACGATTTGTTTGGCCTATATAGCATCGGGGCCGTCTCCTCAAGGAATTTCATAAATTAATTGGTTTGAGATTGAGTGAGAGATTGATGTCTGTGGATGCTCCTATTAATGTTATTTTCGCGGTAACCGTTTTGGGCAAGGACTTGTTTTAAACTAAAAATCTTAGCGGGTTTACTTACATCATCGCAAAGGCGTATTGATCTGGAAATCAATAGGCGCTTTAAGTACATTTTAATTCAGAATATCTAAGTTTACGTATAACAAGGTTTCAAAAATCTAATAATTGTTGACTTATCCTCATACCAAAAAATAAATTACAGTTTCCTATGGTAAACTCAAAGAAAATCAAGACATGTCTGTTAAAACTTTACCATTGCTTTATATTAGCATCGGTTGATACTTAATACATAATTTTCAAATCAAAATATTCCAAAAATGGTACACACTATCGAGTTTTACTAAGAGTAACTTTTTGGTGTAAAATTGTATCTTCTATGAGATATCATATATAAAAACTAATTCATGGGATGTATCGGCTTAAAAAAAAATTCGTATAAAATTTCATTACAGTGTTGCCAGTAGTTTCGGCAAAATCGTAAAAACTATGTAACATTTTGTTTTCTTCAGTATCATTTATCTTGATAACGGATGGCGGCAAAAACTACTTACGAAGCAAACTCACCTACTCAGCTTTTTGCCTATCCTAGAGACGGTGTTAACTTTTTTTGAAATACCCTGGATATTGGATATTTTTATTTGTTATTATAATTACAATTTTAAAATAATAAAGTAAAGTACGTATAACGTTCTGTCTCAGGTCTAGTGTAATGGTTTTTAGATCAGATCAATCAGGTTACTGACCACTTACGTAGTGGGGACTGACGGCTTTACGTGCCTTCCGAAGCACGGTAGTGGCTTAGTTAAATTAAAAATAAAAAAATTTTGGTATCAGTGCCAAGAATCGAACCCTGGCTCTTCAGCTTGGTAAGCCATGACTATAGCAATTGAGATACGGCTGCCAGTATTTAAAATAATAAAATATATTTAAAAAGTTATAAGATAATTAGAAAACTATTTCTAATTTATTCCTGGTGTATTCCTCAAGTTAGATATTGCACATTTTTAGTAAAGTAAAAATCTGGAAATAGTGCATCGACTTCCAGAGTGAAAATATTTTTAAAAATGTATTATGCCAATTTTTTAAATTTATTCTTTTTAGAATGTATTTTTGAGCTTGCATCATTTTAGACCCATAGAAATATATATAAACAATAAGAAGATTAAATAATATAGTAAACAAAGAATTAAAAAGTATTAATCAATAAATAGAAACAATGTTATATATAAGTAAATAAAAATAACATTTTTTAAACATGTACAGGGTTTCTCACAAATTATGGTTTACTAAATAAAATTGATAAATAATAGTTTTTTCCAAAAATTTATTTATTTAACTAATAAATATTTTTTGTCTGTATCTGTATTCGTATACGAATATCTAGTATTTTACTTTTTAGTGGAGATTTTGTTGTGGTATATATACTGTCTTTTTCATGTTCCATTTCCATGTTAAAGGTTGGCAACTCTCATTCTATTCAACTATTCTGACCCTACATGCAATTTGTTTCGTTTATCATTGTTAATGTTTATTTTTGTTTTTTCCTTATAATTTAAATTAGGTATGTTTCAAAGATCTTCGCAGAACTGCTGAAGATGCTTAAAGATAAAGTAATCAAACATGTTAGCTATATTTTCAATTATATATCATTACCATCATCAATCAGCCCTGATTTGTCCATTGTTGAACATTGGCCTTCCCTAGATATTTCCATCGGTTTTTTTTTTCTGCACCTCTACTATTAAATTGGTCACATTTCTTTTAAATTCTTTTACATTTGTAGCTTTGACTAAAAAGCCAAACGCAAATAAATGTGAGGACAATCGAATAATTACTCTCACGAGCCATTTCCTTAATGCATTTTAGAAAATCATTTACAGGAGACTATATAAACAAATAGAAACATAACTGAGCTGATTGTAGTTTTGTTTTAGGGAAGCAGTAGGTACAAGTATTGTTGCATTTCTCTACCCAAGTATTGTTCTAACACCGCAAAGTTGTTAACACAGACATAAATGCATATTTTATAGATTACAAAAGGTTTCGACTGCGTTAGTCATAAAAACCAGATCCAGGGCTTCGAATTAATATATGTCTGTATTGGAATCAGTAAATTGAAGAATTGACAGAAAATATGGAGGTTCGAATAAAAAATTTAGAATCTCACACTGATAGAGTGTCAGTCACTCTCACGGATTCTTGGAGGGGGTGGGCAAAATCTGATATATTTGAGAAAACCATCTAATATAAAGATATATATATATCATTCAAAACTGTAACTTTTGATTTAGGAACCCTGATATCAAAAAAAAATATGTTAATGGAAAAAGAGCTGAATAAGATCAATTGGAGCATAGTTGGAATCGCAACAGTGAGAACGAAAGAAGAAAGCCTAACCAATTTAAAATCCAGTCACACTTTCTATCATTTTAGAGAGAACAATCGAAATAAAGGTATTGGATTCTTCATTAATAAAAAATTAGCTGATAATTATCATATCAGAAAAAGCAGTCTCCACAAGAGTTATACTAGCAAAATTACAACTAAACTTCCGTTACTCCATGAAGATTATTTAATTCCATGCACCAACATTAGTCTCATCAAGAAAGAAATAGAACAGTTGTATAATGACGTCCAAAGTCGTTATAGAATATTTTACAATAATGTGTGGTGATTTTTATGCCAAAATAAGAGTAAAAACTGATGAAGTTGAAAATGCACTGTTGAAATTTTGAAACACTGGGTAGAAACTGTGTAAAAAATCAAAAAAGTAAAAGAAAAGTAGATAAATGAAACAGGTGACGAAATAGAAAACTGGACAAAAAGCATGATACATTTAACCTCTACAAAAAAAGAACGCCTCTAATAATAAAAAGAAACATACTTACTCTAGTTGACAACGAAAAAATAAATCTAGTTTCCGCAAATGCGACGAATCAAAGCTGATTAGCTTAAAGAGTCGTTTAGTAAAATTATTCTTAAAGATTATACAGAATAAAGTTTATGAATCATGCGAAATAGACATAAGTGACTCTCAATTCCGATTTGGAACGGCCTTAAGAACAAGAGAGGTGCTGTTTGCGACACGCACACACTTATTAAAAAATCCCTTGATCACCAGAAAAAATATATCTCTGTTTCGTCTACTACCAGAAGGCTTTTGATGAGTCCAACTTGAAAAATTGTTGTGTGAACTACAAAAAATGAAGATACACGGAAAAGATCTCCGCATAGTTCAAAATATTAATTAGAAGCAAACTTAAAATACTAAAAGCGTCCGTATACAAACAGGTGTTCGACAAGGCTGTGTGATGTCTACATTGCTTTCTAACTTGTACTCTGAATGCATATTCAAGTTAGTTACCACAGTAAAATGTACTGGATATCAAATAACCATTGTAAAGATGGCGGAAGTGATTGTGGAAGGTGTTCTAGTGGTGGCTGATATAATGATACAGGAGATTGAAATCCAGGAAAAAGGAATAAAGCAGAAAAAATTTCGCATTTCTAGCATCCTTATTTTTATATCCTTTTTTTCGTACATTCCATAATGCTTCCTCAGCTTCGTATAACTCTATGAATCTAACACTCTCCCTTTACAACCATTTTTTATGTTTACTTCTCGTTTTCGATATTTCGACACCAACGATATTTCAATTTTATAATACCATTCTACTTGAATCTAGGGAAGTTTGCCAGCGTCCTACTTAACTTGAATAGAACCTGTTGATACAAGTGTACTTTTATGAATGTTGATACAAGTGTACTTTTATGAACAGGTGACATGATTAAAGCAGCTTCCAAGTGTTGCGCGCCCAACGTCCAAGCAGATTTTAACCAAGTACACTTGGATCGTG